TATCGTTTAGTACGATACCTACACCACGCTGACCCAGTGAGCGGGCTGCGTCGTCTCCTGATGTGCGAAGGAAATACTTCGAGGACAGACCCGGCGCACTCAGGTGGCTTATAATAATAGAATCCTGAATTCGTGTCTCCGATACGCAACAGACATCGACGTCTAGAGACTGCATTGTACGCACAAGACACTCCTGTTGACCCACCTGCATAAGAGTCCTGACGTTGAAAGCTCCCAGATTGAGAGATTGACGAGGCTTCAGAATCTGCACTTTATTTACAGGAAAACTAGTTACAGTGCTATTTGGCAAAGACCTTTGGCGAGTGACGGCCAAGTTGTCTGAAGAAGGGGTAAAGGGATAGGATTGGGTGAGGAAGACAAAGAGTTAAACAATGGTTGGGATATCTGTTCAATACGGCAAATGATTCTGCTTCACGTCCAAGGGGCGATGTCCCTGAACAGTGTAACAGCCAATCCCTGTTATGGACATTAAATTCACCCAAAATTGTTGGAGTCTGCTTCAACAATGCTATCTATGTTTTCCGATAAAACATCAAGGAGTGAAGGGTCACTACTATTCGAGGAACGGTACACTGCATAAGTAGTGATTGAAAGAAGGGAACCCAAATTTCAGCCACAGTCTGGAACTCGCGGTTGGTGAGATTTGAGTGGGAGAACGGAATGAATGATGGATGGAAGCACAAACACCAGCTTTGGGAATGAACGAAGTGTGAAGGGAATAATTAGGTAATTGAAAATGCGTGGTGTCTGTAGAAGCGGAAAGTTGAGTTTTGGATAAAAATAGAGCAAGAGGGGAATTGGACTGAAGAAACTGATGAACAGAATCAATATTGTGGTTCAAGCCGCGAGTGTTAGTGAGTGCGATTGTCGATTGAGAGTGCGCTTTAGAATTGTTCCTGTTTGTTGTAGTATTCACGTTAAGATGAGAGGGTAACCGGCAACCTAGCCCTGGAACTTGGAGTGGCGAACCACATAAGGCCCCGATGCTTAGACGGTGGTAGTGACCCGGGCGACGGCAGAACCGTCTATCACCCGTAGTATTGAAATAAACTTCTCGGGCACACCATTTAGAGTGAGGCAGCGCCAGAGTTTAGAGCTGTCGACTGAGTCGAAAGCCACCTTCAGATCGAGGAAGATAGAAATGGTGGGTCTACGAAAGGAGTGTCTGTGTTCTACGGTTTAACTAAAAGTAATGGTGTGGTCGATACAACCTCGACCAGGTCTAAAACCAGCCTGGTTCTCACGAGAACACCGTTCACGTGCGGCAGACAATCGACGGAGTATGATACCAGCGAGGAGTTTAGAAATGATGTTGATTAAACTAATTCTCTGTGGTTTTCACAGGAGGGTCTGTCACCTTTCCTGTAAATCGGTATGATCACCGATTCACACCATTCGGTCGGAACCTCTTTTCTCTCCCACTCTGAGCCCAGGAATTTTGTTAACTGCAAAACCAAGGGTAGATCTCCATCCTTAAAAACCGATGGGGACAGCCCGTCGGGGCCGGAATCCTTATGTCGTTTGAAATAACTTATTTCCCGGGTAACCTCCATTTCATATGGAGGTCTGATGTCAACCGACAGCATTTGCGCAGTTGTAGCGGGTAAGGGGAGGTCTTGTGTTGACGGGACCAACTGAACTAAGCCTTAAAATGTTCTGCCCAACGTTCAAGACGACGTTCCTGAATTTGAATTAGTGTGCCGTCAGACTCTTTAATCAGCTCATGCCTACTTTTCTTGGACCTGTACTCCTAATTAATTGGAAAAGATTGCGACTATTACCGATGGCCGCAGCCTTCTCCATTTCTCTATACTTCCCTACCCGTTACTTCTCGTGGTTATTCCTCAGACTCTTGATGAGCTGGCGTTTAAGGATTTTGGCGCTTTGTCGTATTTTGAATCCGAAGGAATGGCTTCGCAAGCGTCCAGCAAGGCAATCGAGGTTGGGGAGATCAATCGTTTTTTATTTGATCGTGCACCGTCGTTGTTTTGATTGATATTTGGATCGCTTCCTTGATTGTCGTCCAGTGTTCACTGAGTCCTCCAGCTGATGTTTGAGCTGAGAGGCGATCTGCTAGTTACTCTTTGAAGGCTGACTTGCAACCGTTGCGGATACTGTATTGTGGGCAATCGTTTTCGGTGGTGTTTCTGCCGTTGTTTACCAGGCGTAGGGAAAATCTGGCTCGTAATAGAGCATGGTCCGTGTCCACGGGTGTTGACCAGTAGGAACGGCAGTCTTCAGTAGATCCGTGCCAGCGGTGACTGAGGGCGATGTGATCGATTTGAATCTAGCGCTGTGAAGAGGTTGACGGTCTCCATGTAAGGCAGTGTCGTTTCTTGTGCGAGAATTTGGTGCTTGACAGAAACAGTCCGTGGTCAGCACATAGCTGGAGTAAGCGTTCTCCTTTGTCAGTCCAGTTAGCTGGGATTGCATGTGAACCATCAAATAGCTTTTCTGATTCGTCCAGAGATCCCACTTGAGCATTGAAATCTCCAGCGACTACCACAATGTCCGTTGACCGAGCCCTTCGGAGCAGTTGAGAGAGGTCCTTGTAGAATTCATCCTTCAGTTCAGGCGAACTGCAATCAGTCGGTGCAAACATACAACGCATAAGCATCAACGCTTCGTTCTGTAGCTGTGGATCCGTACTGAACCATTCTGATGCACAACGCAAAGTCGGCCACTTACCGAGATCCAATCGAGAGGTGAACGGTCGGCCTTGACACAGCGCGATCCTGACACCGGCAACACCGCGAGCTTCGGATGCCGAATCGTCTGCTACACGGAGAGTGAAGCGTGAGGATGAAGTTGAATCTGGAGATCGTAAGGTGGTGGTTGAAGTAGGGTCTTGTGTGTGTTTCGGAGGCACAATATACATTGGAGGTTTCAAGGGTTCTAGTTAAGGCAGCTGTTTGACCAATCTACGCCCCAATACCTTGTAGGGCGTGATTGAAGCAACGATGTGAGAGCTTCTGGAGAACTGTCACGCAAGGACTTTGAATTTTGCTCACGTGTTGTTCGTTGGTGCGCTGGTTGACAATCCGCTTTTCGAGATTAACCCGTAGTCTCATGCACCCAATGAGACAAGCGGAACGTGGACGCGATGGCACTTTATTGGCTGGGGGCTGCCCAGCTTGGGCGGGCGTTGGCTGTCCAACGAAGTGCGAAGACTTCCCCCACCGTCGAGAGGAAGCCGCAGGTACCCCGCTCTTACGTCCATCTAGCGGGTTATTTTACTGGCAAACTGCCCCTGGTCGTGCTTTGTTGCTGGAGTGACCTCTCCAGGGGCGGAAGTAGATGGTCAAAGGAAGCTAAGAGAAGCCCAAGCACCTGGCTTTGTGAAGTCGAGCTTTCTCTGGCCTCTACCCATTGACCTTTCAGGCATAATTGGATCTGCGACTGTGAGGAGCCATCCTGTGTAGCTCGCAGGTTCATGAATGCCCGCAAGCCATGACACCACGTCGAGGTGTAGTCTTGTCGTGATGGACCAGTCTCTGAGATAACCTCAACTTCCATTAAACCAGCTTTCGTGGTTCTTCCTAAGATTAAGTTACACAAATCACCGGAACCGTATCATTAGAGTGTGCTTCTAGAACTGAGACGGGTAAGTTGTGTGGAAAATTAAAAAAAACATTGGTCCGAAGAACTCAGTGGAGGAAATGTCAAGTTTAGAAAATAACTTTAGGTTGAATGTGAAGACAAGATAAAGGATACAAACGCCCTGGAATATGCCTGTTAAATTTGAACACACTATATAGACAGTGAATTAATATAAACATAGTCACTAGCAATTTTGGGGGTACGAGTCGGAAAATCAGTCAGTTGGTGTAGGTGCAGGGCAAATTATTCTGCTTCACGTCCAAGGAGTAATTCCCTTACAGAATGTAATAAACATTCCCTGTTGTGTCCGGTTAAATATCCCAAAATTGAAATCTGAGCTTTGGGGTTGTTTCAACTATGTTCTCAGTGCGTTGTAATCGTGTTTGATATATCGGTGGTGAGATGAGAGAGATAACTGGCAACCTAGGCATGGAACTTAGAGCGGCGAGCCACATAAGGCTATGGCGACTTGGCGACAGTACTGACCCTGACTGCGGCAGAATCATCTACCATCACTAATTAATGCTGTCATTCCTATGCGGCCGCCTCAGTGATCAACCGAATGTTCAGCCCAACGGCAACAACCAAAAGCGTAGCGCACCAGTGCAAGATTACTGGTTATGTAGGCTAATAATCCAGAAATCACGCTCGGCATTCTGTGCTCAACCACTTCAACACAAACCTCTTTTCATACTGTCTTATTTCTTTATGTTGCCGCGTTTTCTCATACAGTGTTTTGTTCTTCACTTCTTCCCCTCCACTATCTCTTTAGGGGTTTTCTATGCGTCGCGGGGGCGGTGGTGGTGGTCGAAGACGTGTCCAAGATCCACCAATTAACCATGATCTATCAGTTTCTCTTTTGGATGTGCTCAACGGTACAGTAAAGAAGATGCGTATCACACGACATCGACTCAACCCCGACGGACGAACCACGCGACTGGAGGAGAAGGTATTGGAAATTGAAGTGAAGAAAGGATGGAAGGAAGGCACCCGAATCACATTCCAGCGCGAAGGAGACGAGAACCCCAACGGAAATATTCCGGCCGATGTAATCTTCACTGTGAAGGATCGAACACACAAACACTTCAAACGTGAGGGTGCAGATGTTCGCTACATCGCTCGTATCAGTCTGAAGAAGGCGTTATGTGGAGGCACCATTACTGTCCCGACCATTGATGAGCGTCAGGTCACGTTGACCTTGACAGATGTGGTGAAACCCCGTGGAACCCGACGTATTACTGGTCAAGGTTTACCGTACGTGAAGGAGCCGAATCGTCGCGGAGACATCATTGTCGAATTTCAAATCGTGTTTCCGGACACTCTAGCTCCTTCCCAAAAGGCGGCATTGAGTAATATACTGCCGGACAATGTCTGAATAGAATGGTTTTGCTATGATTAAGTGAACAGTAACGAGTTCCGTTCTTACACACGTCTCGTCCCTTGTCCTGCTCCCTACACGTTCTACTCGGTGAACTCATTCTGTGAACGATGAGGTAGTGAAGTCCCGGGTGCGTGCAACTGGCCATTCAATTGTGAATAAGCTTATGGCTCGATACCACTCGTCTTTTTTACCCCCTTGTTCCATGCGTTTTTGTGGTTGCGTAAACAGAGATACTAACGTACAAACGTGAAACAACTGGGATTCTGGTTTTGCTATACCATATAATCTGTCTACATTGAAACAGAGTACTCATAGGCAGAAGGCCATTTACTCGCCCGAAGATCTGTTTCTGCTCCACTATGCTACGCACCTGGGATCGTCCTATCTTTATTGACTGCATTCTAACAGTAAGATTTCCGTCAAGAGACGGAAGAGTTTCAGTTTGAACAAACATAAAACGAGCACCTTCGTGTGACAGTTTTGGTTGCTCTCATTTAGCAACCCATTTGGGTGAAGGATTAGAGTTAGAAGCAGTGTCAGTGTTAAGGTACACTGGCGTCACTTTTTGCGATACTAAGACATACCGCTCAATGTCTCGAACCAGCGATTACACTGGTCACGAGTACTCAGTCGGAAAGCAGATGGTTTGTGCAACTGTTTCTCCTGATCAGCGTTTCCGTACTCTCTTACCGGATCTTTGTTTGGCCACCCTTGACTTTTCCCAGTTACCTACGAACAGACGTCACAAGTCAGGGAAACCTATTGGGTGACATGCGTTGCACATGCCCGAGCCAACGTAATCTATGTAGGTCGAGTAGTTGCTCCAATGCACAACCGCGATTGCTTAAAAATCCTCACCTAACCTCGTCATTGCTTGTTCGGTTAGCGCACCATACTCGTGCAGTGCGGCCTAGACAGCTATGTTCGTTCTGTTTCCCTAACGACCATACCTCTACACCATACGATAGCACGAATCAGACTTCGTCAGGTTGAAGTCCGGTGCATCAGCACAACTGAACACTGTTACTTCTCGTTCCGTGGACGCGCTGGTGCTTCTGTGTCCCAAATACAACTTATAGACAGTGGTGACATCTTTGATGACATCCATACGAGTGTCACCGTTTTATTGTGTACATACAGAAAGTTACAGCTGTTGAACCCAGGTTGGTCCTACGGTGATGTTAGCCCAAAAGCTTTTTTGTGTTGCCTAAAGGTCCCCTTGAAAATGTTGAGGATTTTTCGGTTATTTGCTGTGTCACAGCGAGTAGCTGTTAAGACCTATCTTCCGGTCAACATGGTAATGACGTCAAAATTTATCAAGTTGTTCCCACTTTTCTTTCATCACAAAGGTACAAAACCGGCGTACAGCAGCTGCTAAGGCAATGCTTGATCGACGGGGGAGGGTGGAAATGACTTTTGTCCGATGACTGCCTATGATGGGTATGAAGCCGTATATGTAAAAGATCATACACAAATTCAAAGTATTGGTATGATTTGATTTTGCGTTTTGGCACATTTTGCGCTGCATGAATCGGCACTCGTTTTCATCAGATCGGGAGTGGAATCCTATCCTTGTTATCGATCGGGTGTAAATCAACAGACTTTGTATATCTTTTGCAACACCCAGTCCGGTACGATAGTTAACCACGCGCCCGTGTATATGTGTGCATTGTTACACGCACTCGCAATCACCTATTCAGTATGCTTACTCGTATCGCTGGTACTTTAATTTCTCGTAGACACGCCCATTACCATTAGGTTTTTCCCTATTGCAGTCTCTCGGGGCGTTTGATTCTGGCTCGAAAAAGGGCATACGAATTAACAGTGAGAAAAACATGCCCGAGGTCTGATCAATCGCTTAACTATCTTCCCCATGGCGATTGAACCAACCGACATTGCGCAAGTGTGCTTTCGGCCTTCACACCACTCTCGTGCCATATTTTCTGTAAGTTTGGGGCTGATCTAAAAATATCAACAGTAGCAACATTTACAATACCTAAACGGCCGTAATGAAGGTATTATGACTAGTTTCCTTTTTCTTCGCTGGAACTGTTTATTGTCGGCGGTGCTCAAATCATCAAAAGTGAGCTATCTTTGTAATTATCAAATTCCATTGCCCAATTTTGCTTAAACATATCGCAACACATGACCTTTATTTGAACGCTGGGTGGTGCGTCGTAGTTCATTCAACCACAATCGCCGAGTTTACAACCTATGTTTTCGGTGGTTTGTTATACAGTGATAGTCAATCTCGTTTGATACGGAAAAGGCTTGTTCGAACCTTGGAAGCTGATCGACTCGGGATGAAGCAATCATGCAACTGCTGATCAGCGAACCAAATGGTCTCACTATAGCTATACTCCATTCGGTACCACCCATCTTTGCAATTTTATAACGAGTCACTGTCCCCGCAAATCTTGCCGGTCATTAGCCTCTGTAATCAAATCGAATGCTTGGCCAATCATGTTCGGAATGTTTTGGACTGAGTCATGGACCAATACCTTAATCTGGTGCCCAAATCAAGTTGAACGCACTTGGAACCGCTCCCTTCTCCGTTTTCGATCCTCATTGGGGTCAGTTGCTTCGCACCGCTGATGATACTCGAAAACGTTCAAACAGTTGTTCAACGCTCCTCAATTTTTACCGTCTTACCTTCGCTCTTAATGCGCTAAAATTTCATCCCGACTAACCCCTTCGGTTATACTGGAAAACAAGTAGAACTATATAGTTCATGTCGTGGTTCTCCTTCTAGGTATCACCGCGCTTATCTTTCTATTAGTATTTTGATTATTGTGGTTCTCGAAACGAGCATTTTGTTAGACCGTTGGACAAGGATTTTACCTTCCGATCTGAAAGTTCAGGCCTCGGCAGAGACGAAAAATACCACGCACTGCTAATGAGTTTAAACAAGGGCGAAACATTGTCAAAAGTTCCTTGTCGGCCATTGTTAACGAAACTAGATTGCATTATTCCTGTGCTCTTAAAATAAAAATCTGCAACACTCGCCTTGCATGTAATAGGTATGTCACGGATACTAAATTCAGACTGACTATGTGTCTCGGGGAATTGTGTCACGAACCCAATTGGTATAATTGATCGATACTATGCAACCTCGTGTGGAGACTGATCGACACAGACGAGTGAAATTTTGCTCGTCTACATATCAGCCTAATACCAAAGTTATCACTTGATTCAAAAAGTACTGGAACGCCCACGCAAAGTATTCGATGTTCCTCCGCCTTATATCGATCGGGCTTACGTAGCTAAAAAATTCAATTCTACATATCAATCAAAAATGTGTTCAAGGCAGGAGAGTTAAATATTTTCAGCATTACAAACAAGTGGATGAGACTTACGAACCACTGGCATCATTTGTCACGGGGGTGCGGAGCGTGGAACGGACAGGACCAAACCTAGTGGGTTATGGTGCGTTCCTGGTGATTGTGACGGGCCATGCTAATTCAGCCACGTCATTAGGTCACGATGCTTGTGAGCTGTTCATGCCTCCACGGACATTTATATTAGCGCTAAATCATTTGCAAATTATATTGAACCTTGAAAGGTCTTCAAAATTCTGGACTCATTCGGTACACAGTACAATAATTATCTCTGATAATTTGTTAAACTAGCTCGAACCCGCTGTCCACCATAGAATCAACTCATTGTTAGATGCATCATCTATCGATTTGCAGTCAACCGAGCGATAAAATTTTAGATCTCATCTTTCCAATAGTGTGATAATGCCGCTTATCGACTTGTGCTTCAATGTCGGGTGCGCTAATCCTCATTGTGACTCGCTTTCGGTTCAGTTCGATTTAGACTGAGAGCTGGACCAACCCAGTCTTGTTGCAACGTTTTACATTTTAAAGGCACGAAGCACATACTGAAAACGTCTACACACCAGCACTGAAACCATCCAGAAAAGCTTGCAACTTACCCCGATCTTCACCTGGCGGTACAATGTCGTCTGCATGCTCCAAATCAGACAGTCTGTCATCTGGAAGCTGATCGTCACCACTATCCTCGCATGAGGATGGGGCTGTTTCCATAACTGAATCTATGACAAGGTCAACCCCACCGAACACCGCTTTCTATGGTGAACTCGGGCGAAAATTTGCCTTAAGCTCGGACTCTGCATCGACGAGTAGTATACAGTTTGACTCAGCTTGCGTTTCCGTGGAGCAGCCTGTGTTTTGTGCCAGTTGTAGATTCATCGGTCTAACCCTCACTCTTACAGTTGCTAGAGCATCGTCATTCTTTTCAAAGACCATCCATCCATTGTGGTATTCGTAGACATCGCACGACCTTCTATCGATAGGCCACTATGGAACCATTTGTCGAGAAGCGGTATACCTCAGAAGTATATGTCGGTCCTTAAATAGTTCCATCCTCAAACCTCAGCTCGGGTTAGTTCCTATGACCAACCTTCGTCACACTTGGGCGTTTCCAGTGGATCGATAAAAGGCTACCTTATATCCTGATGTCTTTTTAAGTTTGTCAAGGGAGATGCTTATAGGAATACTTCGATTAAGCGAGCAGTAAAGTTCAACTCCTCTCAGATAATAGCAATTTTGATCTAGAAAATGCCGATGACATCGCCTTGCTAAATGAGAATATGCAGACAGTCCAACATGCTTTGGACCTCTCGATAATCGAGATAACTGGATATGATGTGTTCTGCACCATCCGAAAGCAAATTGTATGTACTTTGAGGATCCTAAAAGGAAGAACAACTTTCTGACAACCATGTTTAGCACCTGACTACCTTAACGGTAGTGAGTAGTCGGTTTATATGAAGTTGCCCGTTGTTGCACACATTTGAGCTTTTTCCATTGATCTTATTCCTCACCTACGCCTGTCGCATTAGCCGTGAAAAGGGTACATTCATGTAATTCGAGTGCGATCTTAGGACCCACCCATATGTAATTATGTCCTTAGATGTCTGCTGCAAGTTAACACCAGAGCAATCGCTGCGTCTAAATCCCTCGGAACTG